GGGGATCTTAACTGTTTTAATCCATAGCCTTGCAGGGAAAGGCCAGCATGCAGTTTTGTCATTTTTATTATTTCATGTCATTAGATTTTGTTGCTTTAACTATTGCAGGGATTAAAGGTGTTTTAATGTGGCTTGATGGTTTGTCTTTCTCATGGTTGTCGGTGTCCTTTCCCCAGCCCAGCTCTGGAGAAGACGAGGGTAAGTCCTGAAAATTCCCTTCAGTGGTGCACAGAATGCCCAGGTTCTGCAAGTGCGGACTCACGGGCAGGTCTTGGGGAAAAGCCAGTCTTCGCATCTCCTATCAGGCAGAGAATAATGACAATGAAATAGAGCATGGGGTGGAGGGGCACCTGCTTCAGCACAGTAGGTTCACATCCTGGCTCTACCACTGAACAGTAGTCTTGGGCAAGTCACTTAATATATCTCATCTTCCTTTTCTCGTTGATAGAAGGAAGATGAGGTTAATATGGTAGAAGTCAGGCGGATCAAGGCTTTGTGACGTCACTAGCACTGTACCTGTCACACAGTAAGAATTCAACACAAGGGTACCGCTGTTTCCAAGTCTGAGGAGATCTGCTCTTCCCAGGTGGAACTGTGAGTTGAGGGGGTGTCCACATCTGGAGACCTTGTTTTCAGCAGGACCTTGGGTGGGGCTGGAGTTAGCAGGAGGCACTTCAAATTTAGATAACCCTCATCTCCTTCTGGGTCTATCAATTTATGGAGCTGCTACTAAGACTGTTTCATTTTATTTGTGTTTGTAGCATGTGGCTCAGTTTGCTCAGCAGATTAGAAGCTCCTTGAGGGTAGGGCTGGAATTTATATTCCTGGACTCTCCAGAGTGCTGAGCTCTGGGCACGTGCACATGCTTAAGGAATGTTGGCCAGTGAATGGGTAGATGGGCACAGCTACCTGTGATGGGAGGAAATGGGGTTAGTTTCTAGGGAATTCAGAGAGCAGTTGTTCTTGAACTTGACTGCACGTTGGAATCGAGTGGGGATAGGGTGACCAACCATCTGGTTTGCACAAGTTCCAGGGACTTGAGACACGGAGTTTTAAAACCAGGACCCCTGAGTCAGGGGTTTCTGGGACTCAGGACTTTCAGTGCTAAAAGATGGGAAGTCCTAGGAAAAGTGAGCAAGTCAGTCCTGGGAAAACTGGGATCCATCAGTCATTCTACTAGTGACATTTTAAAACAGACTGACTAATGCTGGGGACTCACCCCCAGAGCTGCAGATTTCATTGGTCTGGGTCAGGCCTGGGCATCAGCATGGCTGGCTACGCAGACGATTTTGAAGTTCAGAAAAGAGTGAGAACGACCGATGAGGGAAAACATCTGACCCAGGTTCCAGTGGATGCTGTTGAGCTGTGAACAGGTTACAGGTGGCCCAACACACTGGGCCCCTTCAGCCTTAGGGGTGCTGATGAAGCGAACAAGGTTGGGAAGCCCTGCTGAATAATGATGCATAAATGTGGGGAATAGAGACCTCATTAAAAAAGGAAATTCCAAGGCCCCACCCAAGACTCTCTGTGTGGGAATTAGCACAAGCCTGGGAATCTGGATTTTAATCAGGCTTTGCATGTGATTTGTATGCACACTCAAATTTTAGAATCGTAAGAATGTATATCTAGAAAGTACCCCACAGACATAAAAGTAATAGTTTCAAGGAAATGCATTTTTCGAATAGCCCCACTCGAACTGACTTGGGTTTAGAAGGTAACAGGTGAGGTAGAAGGATGGGCACCAGAACATCTTTCTTTATCAAAAAAATCTCCCTTTTCCCTGGACCTCTTTCTCCTCTTGAAATGGCTTTGTTTCTAAGCATAGCTTAGGGAGACTAAATTTAGTCTCTTGTGGTAGCTGGGGTTATTGTTCTCAATTCTTTATTCCTCCAACCCCATGAACTTGCAGTGAACAAAAGCAGAATGAATATATTTCCCTGCAGGCTAGCGAGTGAGAAACATAGATCCTTGTGACTGTAAGCTACTGAGTTTTTGTGTGATTTGTTATGCAGCACTTTTGTGGCCAGAACTGACTAATGCATCCCTCAAAAGAAGAAAGAACTGGGCTTTGTCACAGTTCTCACTAAAAGACTTTAAAACCCTTTAGAAAAGGAAAGCTTGCTCACCGTGGTGGCGAGGACCTGGAAAGGGCAGAAGACCTGCCCAAACTGATAGCACTTGTGCACGTTGATGTCTCCAAAGCGACTACGACGCTCCTTCCGGCCAGCCAGCCTCTTCTCTGCCTTCATGTCCATGAAGTGCCGGAAAGGGCCCTGCTGGGGCAGGTGCGCCTGCAGTGAGGAGCCCAGAGAGCACGTGGTTACCAAGTACCACAGACCGACACCTAGACGAGTCTCGAGGTGGACTTTTTAGAACAGGCAGCTCTGGTTCATGCCCCTTGTTCACAAGTTGGCTTTCCATGTAACTTTCTTAATTTTCTGTGGCTTTGGGACACAGATAAAAGGGCCGTGCTTCCACTTGCTGCTGGGAGTGTGGCACATTAGACGGAGGGTCAGGGCACTGAGTCCTCCTTGTGACTGTGCCACTCACTGTGGGACCTCAACTCACCACCCACCTCTATGGCGTGTTTTGATTAAAGTATTGTCATTGACATGGTTTATGAGAACCGGGCGTGACAAGAATGCCGTGGGTCAAAGGACATCCTTCCTGGAAGTGGGAGGTGGGATTAGAAGTGTGATGGAGGGTCTTGCTTTTTGATTCTAATTTCACTTGTATTGGAAACTGAAGAGCCCCATTTACACTCCACTAGGGCAGACACTCACATAAGATGCCCAGTGGATTTCCAAGCCAGAGCGTCTCCCCACATGTGCCCTCTCTGCCCAGACACAAGTCCGTGAGCTCCCCATTGAAGGCAGCTCCTGCTAGGTGCCCACAGCTCCGCCAGCACCTGACCGGCCTTTCAACTGCTTTGACCCTTGCTCTCACCTGGGTTTCCCAGTTCCTGACTGTCTCACCTTCACCTCCTGTCTTCTGGCCCAGCCTCTTTGGGCAGATGACAGAGTCCTAAATTCTACCTGTACATCGTATTCTCTGTGAGAACTGGTACCTCCTCTTGCTCTGCCCAAGCGTGGTCAGCGGGAGAGTGGTGCCCAGCCTAGACTCTTGACCACACGGGAATGCTTGGCCCTCTCTGTATGCAGAGGGGCCTTAGGAGATGCTGTCTCTATCCGCATCGTGATCCTTTTACACCCACCAGAGGCAGGGGTACGGCTGGCAACATGGTGGTGGCAAATGGGTCTGCCTGCTGCTGGAGAAGTGTGTCCATCCTTCTGGCTGAGACACCTGGGAGGTGGGGGTGTGCTGAGGAGTGGGCGGCTGGATACACCACAGGAATCTCATCCCAATTAGGGGGTTAGGCCATTTCCTGCCTCCCACACAAGAGGAAACAAAGATGTGTGTTGTTTTATTTCTTCCAGCATTGACCGTAAGGATGCGGACGGGCAGCTCCGGAGGCAGGCGGGAGATGGAGGGGCCGCCAGGGACGTTAGAGATCAAACATCCTCCTTCCCAGGTGGAGGAACTGAGACCCAGTAGGGTGAGAGGGCCTTCTCCAAGTCTCTGTCACCTCCTCTTGCGTATTTAAATTCACACCTGTAGCTTCAGGGTGGCGACTCTGTTCCAAGGAAGATGGTTTCCAGAGTCCACTTTGAAGAGAGACAGATTGATACCAATAGACCTTGGAGGATGCCAGACCACGCTGAGGGCTGTGGGTTGGGCCAGAGAGGACTGAAAGCAGACCTGTGTCTGCAGTGAAAGATGTGAGAGAGCCCCACCCCGGCCTCCCCTGGCTCTGCTCCTCTCCCTGATGTGTCATGTTGCCTTTCTTGAGGAAATGCTCCACCACCACCACCATCATCACATTTAAAATAGTCTGTGCCACCTTTTCTGCTGAGGTCACCTCCCCGCTCCAACCCTCTCCTGCCTTCCCTGGCCTCTTTCCTGTTCATCTTTCTGGACCCTGATTTTGGCTTCCAATGAAGAGTCATCACCACCAGAAGCCTTTCTGGCTCCTCGGTCAGAGTCAGTTCCCCTTCTGGGCTTCCGTAGCATTTACCCCCGGGGTCTGTGTCCCCCGCTTGAGTCACCGTGGGTGTGTCCCGACTTATCATGTCCCAGCCAGACCCCAAGGCCTGTGTTTCATCCATCTACATAAGTCACCCGTCTGCCTGGACTACGTGTCATGTAGTCAGTGCGCAGCAGAAGTTTGTCCCCTGAGTGAACAGTCAAGTTTTGAAGAAAGTCATTTCTAGATTTTTAGGACAACAGAGAGAAAACCACACTTTTCAAAGACATCTCTTTGATCCAAAGCAAAATGGACCCATTAGCCAGAGGGTACGGTATTGGGAGAATAAAACTTGGAACACCTGACACGGTGGAAATGGAGCAGAAATTTTGGGTGAGGAAGAGGATCAGAGGTGGCTGGGGGTGGAAGAAACCATTGGGAACATCAAAAACTGTCCTATTTTGAGGATTTTTCTGTTTTCGCTTTAGGGATCCCCGATGAGGGGGGTGATGAGTGCACTGTGACTTGTACTCAGAGCTACATTTCTCTCCCTGTCCTGGTCTCAGATGGCGTCAGGGCGGGATGGAGATGGCGGTGGATAGAAACCACTTACTCCTGTTCCATTGGTTTCAGTTGGTCTCAGCACCTCGTTCGCTCAGCTCACCCCTGCACGGGGCACATTTACAGACTGAAAAGGATAAAGGAAAGAAGGGGTCCTTGGAAGGCTTACATCATGTATTCGGAAGCTCTTTGCTGCCGGTAGAGGCAGCTCCCAGCTTCGTCCCACAGCTTTTGTGGAGGTCTGACCCGAGATCGATGGTGGATAAACAGGTCCCAGAGGGGTTGGCAGCTTCCAGTCTGTTCCAGGCGGGCGGGGAGAGAAACGGCGCGCTGTCAGGTCCTTGCACATTGCTCGCTTCCTACCCCTGGAATAGGGTTGATTGCTCTGGGTTTGACCCCAGAGCAGAACAAGGAAGAAGCTTGTGCAAATGAGAAAGAAGCAGACCCTCAACCCAGAGCCGAGAATGAAAGCCCTTGTTAAGGGGTCAGCGGACCCCCGGTGGTGTTCTTTTTGCTTTTCTGGAACGTGAGCAGCATGGTGACCAGGTCTCTTGCCACATGCATTATTCATAAGCTGCTTTGCGAAGGCCACATGAGTTGAATTGATTCTCCCTCTGGGGGTTTAACCGAGTGGAGAAGATCATTAGGAACTCCAACATGGTCATTTAATTAGGTTAATTAAAGAATGAATTATGTGAGCCTCTGATTTTTCTGCGTTTGTGAATTATCCTTTGACTTGAGTGCAGAGGCCAGCAAATTTTCTCCGCAAAGGGCCAGATAGTAAATATTTGAGGCTTTGTGGGCCACATGGTCTGTTGCAGAGCGGAAGTAGACACGGACAATATATAAGTATGTAAATGAATAGGCGTGGCTGGCTGTGCTCCAATACAACTTGATTCATGGCCACTGAATTACGACTTTCACATCATTCTCCAGTGTTACAAAATATTATTCTTTCGATTTCTTTTTCAACCCATTAAAAATGGGGAAAACCAGTCTTAGTCTGCAAGCCATAGGGAAACAGGTGGCAGGACAGATTTGCTGACCTCCGGGTGAGTAGGTGCCTCAGTCCACCCTCTGCTGCCAAGAGACGAGTTCTGGTTTCCTGAATAGAGAAGAGCCATCTGAAGTTTTCTCAGCAAGTCCAGAAACCTTATGCAAGCTAGGCACATAGTTCATGAGAAAGCCTTCAACAAACCAAGCCCAGGCTGGCTGGCTGAATCCAGGTACAGCATCCAGGGCCCAAGGGACCTTGAAATCATCCAGTCCACGTTCCTGACATTTTGTGTGACTGCATTTAAAGCAACTTAGGGATACAAGGCTCTCTTCTACTGAAAAAAAAAAAAAAGAAGAAGAAGAAAAAGAAAAAGAAAAAAAGAAAAATACCCAACTGGTCATTGCTTCCTCAATCACTCATGTTCGTGCTGGCAACTCTGCCGTAGCGCAATGTAATTTCCTAAAGTTGGATGGTTATTTTTCTTCCCACACGTATGCACTGAAGGGCATGACTGCATCCCTAGGTTTGCTTTGATGTTGTCCTCCACTGGACCAGCCACGACCTTGGATGTTGCTCCTGTCTTTTGCCCCAGATTTCGGGAGCTGATGTCCCGGACAGTGATGCCTGCCGCTGCGGTTCTCGAATCCCTCCCTCCAGCAGCCCGAGGTGAGGCGTTGTCCTTCTACCAGAATTAAAAATAGAGACTGGAGGAAGCTTAAGCTAGCAGCTTCCCCCAGGGTGCCAGAGGAAATTGAAAAACAAACAAACAAACAAACAAACTCAGAATGATTATTTCTGGGGGCTGCCAAATCACTGAATTTTCAGACCATTGTGGGAATCTGATGTTTTAAAATTTGTCGTTGGTGGGAGTGTGGTGGTGATGGATTAGCACAGTGTCGTGTCTCGATCATTGTGGTTGCTCAATAAGTGTCCATAAAACAAATGGAAGGGGGCGAGGGTTTTAAAGAGAATTTGATCTTTATGGGAACTTAGGTTTTCTTCTAGCTGAACTGCATCTCAGGTTGCAATTTCCGGTCTTTGTAGAAGCCTGCGATGTTCTGGGGGGAAGGGTCCCTTGGAGACTCAGGCACACCAAATCCAGTCTTAATTTTACAAAACCAGAGCTCACATCACTTTCTGTATCAAACGGCTGCCACCGGCTCAGTGTTATCTTAAAAGAAGACTCCCGCTTCCTTGGGCTTTGCCAAAGCCTTCTCAGTCATCAAGGGTCTGCTTTCTGCTGCGTGTGCAATCAGTCCTGCTGGAAGCAGGGACTATGCCGCAGGCAGGAGAGGCCAGTAGCCGCCCGGCTCAGGATGTGTGGACTCTGCCCCTTTGTAAGGCGGAAGGACCTGGAGGGTTAGAAGGGATGAAGGAAAAGGAGGCTGTGGCTTCATGCTCCTCTTTTACTTTGTGAAATAAGGATAGCATTTTCACAACATTTCAAGATCCTGTCCTTGGTGATAATTTTGGGGGGGGGTGGCAGTGAGGGAATGGTGGCAGGGGGAGAAGATGGGGAAATTGGAAAGAGGCTACTCTCTGCAAGTGATTAAACCCTAGAGAGAGATACACATATTCGTAGAAGACTTGAGGAAGTTTAAAAAATGAGTATTTATAACCTCAAAACTAGTTCCATGCCCTCAATCCTGAAAGCACCTCTTTGGTACAGAAAGGGAATCGTTGCCTCTTAGTATTAGATTCCAAGCTCTTTAACAGAGTTTGGGTTGTGCTGATTTTTGAAGCCCCAGTTCCCAGCATGAAGCTTGGCATATAGTAGGTGCTTAATGCATGTTGGTGACAGAGTAAATGTTGAATGAGTGCGCAGAATACACACCGAGTGCCAGCAGCCTGCTTGGATACGTGGGCAATTTGACCTTTTCTCAGTATGATCCCAGCTACTCCCCAGCCAGAGGAGGGCGGTCTACTGAAAGTGGCCGCCGTCCAGATCTGGGCGAGCGGCTTGAAAATGTGTGAAGTGCATTGAATTTCAGTCTCTTCACGGAAAGGAAATGGAAAAATGCTTTGCTTTTTTGCCAACTTTGAACTGGGGGCGTGTTAGAGAAACACTGTGATTTCTTTCAGAGCAAAGCTTGCATTATTGTTTTCTTGTTTTTTAAAATTGAAGTGCAGCCAGTTATAATGTGTCAGTTTCTGGTGTACAGCACGGTGTCCCAGTCAAGCATGTATGTACATATATTCGTTTTTGTATTCTTTTTCATTAAAGGTTATTACAAGGTATCGAATATAGTTTCACGTTGTTGTTTTCTGAATCCCCAGCTCCTAACACGGGGCCTGCCATGTAGGAGCTGCTCAAAAATGCTACAGTAATGACAGCAGCTGCTCCTTGCTCAATACCTGTGGTTATACCCACCATCTCATTTAACTTTTAAAGCCACCATAGGAGATGGCCCTCCTGTGAGGACGAGGAGAGGCAGAAAGCTGTGAACGGCTTGGGTCCCCATGCCATCACGGAGCCTCCTACCAGCCCTGCACTGCCTTTCTCTGGCCCTCTTGTCATCAGGGAAAATATACGCCTCTTTTTGTGGGTGGAACGCTTTCTATTTCTTCAGTTCAAATGTAATTCTATCTGATATACAAATCTACTTCATAAAGTTTATCTCCAAGTATCTGACAATACTTGGCAAACTGACCAGTGTTGACATGTGCAAGGAATACTCCCATGTCTCTGTTATCATGTAAGGAATCCCTGAATAAAGTTGTAATTAGTGTGAAAGGGGAGGGCAGGATGCCTCTTGTCTTCAGTACTGACTCACGGGAAGTTTGCGTAATGGTGTGGGAAGTGGAATAGGGTGGCCTAAACAGAATTTAACCAGGATAGCAAGTCATCCATCAGGCCAGATGTGTCTAATTTTGTCTGAGGCAGAGAAGACCCGAGAAGGAGCTGCTCTCTGTCCTTGAGCCCCCTTACTCGAGTATGAGATCTAAAAAAATTCAGGTTTGGGGTAAGATGAAATGAATGGTAGCCAGTATACGTGCCACTGGGACCACTGCCTGCATCCGTAGACACAGAATCTGCAACTGGAAGGGGATTGGTCCAATCGCAACTGAATCCCTGAATTCAGCTTAAGGGCACCTGGACAAACAAGAGCTCATTCAGAGGAGAGGGTTGAGGCTGTTGCAGAAAACGAAAACCCTAAAACTCTGTTGTTTGGGGCATGACTGAAAGAGGTGAGAATAGTTAGACTGAAGAAGAATGAATCCAGCGGGGGACATGGCTGTTATTTTCCAGTTCTGAAGGCTGCCACGCAGAGAGGGGGTCAAACACATCAGGCTCAGCTCCCGTGGATGGAATTAGAACCAAGGATGGAAGCTGCAAGGAGGCAGGTTTGGATTTGGGTTTGGGTTTGAATTTACATACACTGCCAACAGCCACAGCTGCCGAAGACAGAGGGGTGCGTCTCAGCAGAGGGTCGCATCATGGTGGCATTTACACATAGGTGGAGTCACTGCTGGCAGGGATGTCGCATGGGAGCCAGGCTGGTTCCTTCACTCAATGACTTCATTGATGAGTTAAAGAGTTATTTAGCACCTACTGTGTGTCAGGCTCTCAGTGGTCAGACTATGACCTTCAAGGTCGCTCTAAACTGGATGATTCTTTTAGGCTCTGAGTATGTTGAGCTCTATTTTTGCCCGAGAAAAACCACGGCACCAACATCGGGGATCCTAGAGTTGCACAAAGCCAGACAGCATGTCCGCGGTGGACCCTGCGTTCTCTCTGAGCCTTTGCCCTCTCCACTCTCCTTTTCCCCCAATCATCTTGTTCTTTTCTGAAAACAAAAACCAAAAAACAAAACCAAGTCATGCTCTGCTAAACTGTCTAGTCTGGGTGAGCGTGTTTACGCAGAATGTGCAGTTACCCACTATTGGTCTGAATGATGTGTTTCCCTGACTCTGACAAATTGGAGCAAGCTCCCTCTTTGATCTGCAGTCTTCCATGTCGCCCCCGATACCCCCGAGCAGAGGCAGATCGGAGGCAAGGGCTGTGGTTCAGATTTCATGCAACACATGACCTTCTGATTGGGGAGTGGCTGCGGATTCTTCAGAAACAGTCACCCCCGCTATTCTCTGCACCAAGATTCCAAAAATTGCTGTGGAAACCGCACACTTCCAAGCGAGCCCACTTCTTTTTAAACATTTCCGAATCTCTCTCTCTCTCTCTCTTTCCACCCCTCCACTGTCAGTCTTTACATCTTACGTCTGTGCATATTTCCGGCCGGGTTCTCTTGCCTGGCTGAACCCCCGTGGGTTTGGACGTGCCTCATCAGGCAATGAAAGGCAGCCTCGCTTTGGAGCCGGGCATGCCGCAAGCAAGCAGGGCCATTCGGTTCAGGCTGCTCTTTGCAACGCGTCGGGCTTGCAAGATGTAGGGAGAGAAAACTGGCAGCTGTGTAGGACTGTCTGACGCTGGAAAGGAGCATCTGTTGGAAAATTTGTTTTGTAATTTCCTGAGCCTTTCGGGGTCAGAAGTGGGTAAAAAAAACCCCGAGTGGAAGAAAAATCTAATCACTTTCAAGTGGGAGGATAATAAGAAACAGACGAGCTCACAGGGGCGCAGTCTGTGGGCTCTTGGCGTGCAGGCCCCCAGGACCGCTTCCCAAGCTTCTAAAGCGCTCCTGTCTTAGGCGGCAAGCACTGCTGCTCTCCTGGGGTGATTTATTTGACCCAGACGGGAGGGACCACAGGTGGGTGGAAAGTGGTCTTCAAATTCACCCTCTCTCCACGTTGCTCTGTAAGGCTGGAGATGAGTTGGAGAGGGTGGTGGGACCTGTAAATGCATTCTCTGCCTTCGCGTTTTTGATGGTCTTTGTTGGTTTTATTCACCGAGGTATTTTCAGCACCTGGAACAGTGCCTGGAACCCAGCGGGTGCTCCACAAACATTCACTGAAGGAAAGACTGAACCCATTTTTGTGTCCTATGCACTCTCTAGATCTCCGAGTCACTTCAGTTGACTTTGTACAAATGGTTGCAGCATGAGACAAAGGTGAAAAAGCAAAGGAGGCTTTGATCCCTAAGCAGAGCTGGAGAGGAATATACGTTAGGAAGGTTGGAAGGGCAGGGGAGAGTCAGTATGGCTGCGCGGATGTGTCTGGGAGAGCTCTGGGCTCGTGTACAGACCCCGAGAGAGTGTCTGAGCCGGAAGACAGGCCTTTGAGGTTTACAGCTCATTCCCAACCTTGCAGTGAAGGTTCCACAAGTGCCTTGCTTCACGGCGGAGGTCGTTACCCTAAGATAAAGGGTCTTCACCTCTGCCTCGCCTTCTGCTTTTGCTACAGCTCCTCTCTCCTCTTCCCCAGCCCTACAATTCTCCTTCATTCCTAGTTTCAGGCCTGGGCAGTAAGACCAGGCTTTGCAAAAGACTCATTTTCCAAGCTCTCTCTTACCTGGCTCACGTCTTCACAGCTTTCATTGACCTGAATGTGACCGAAACCAAGACGACTTTTAAGGAATAGAAACTGATTTTCAAAAAGTGAGCCGTGTCTGTGTAACTCAAAACCCTTTCTGATTCTGTGTGTGTGGGAAATAAGGGGAATTTATATATCCCCTCTGGTGGCTGGAATTTGTCACTCTGTTTAGCACTTGGGGTAGGTGATAGTTCTATTTTAATGACCAGAAAGGACTGCATCTCCTAGTTAGTAAATGAGGCATAGAGATAACTCTTCACGTTAACAATATGCCCCTGGCGTTTCTCTCCTCTATCAGTGAAGCACCCTTAGCAGAAACATCATGTGGATGTACGTACAGAAGGTTTGCTCTCTTCAGAGCTGAAGGAGGAGATGGAGATGCAAAGGTGACACCCCTCTGCCTTCCCCGGCTCTCAGGGCACAGGCTACTCTGTGTGTTTCACCCAGAACCACTGGCAAAGAAAAGTCACTCCTTGGGGAGTCGCTAGGTGAGGCAGGTAGGGGGACAAAGGGAGTGGGGACAGGACAGAGAGTGTGCAGAAGGAGAAGGAAGGAGGGGGTGCTTCCAGCCAGCTCAGCCACCCTTCTGTGTGTCTGCCCCACGGCTGCTGCCCCTGCTCGGAAGGCGTCTACCATTGGCGCTAAGTGGCTTGTTCCTCATTCTGGAAGCGATGCCTCTCCGGCTGGAGGCTGCTCCCTGCCTTCCTGGGATGTGCGTGGGGCTCAGGCATGCGCTTTGCTAGGCTTACAGCCCCGTGTAAAAGAGCCTCACTCTGCAGAAGTAAAGGCAATGAATGGGAAAGGGAGCGTGGGTCCTTGGCCAGAGCCACGCCACCCACCCCTTCCCTACTGCACGCTCCGCTTTCCCTTCCGAGAATCAGATTCTCTTGCAGAAAGGATGAGGCTGACTCTCTGGGACTCAGGACCCAGCCCGTGGCTACCACCGGTGTGCATGGCCTTGGCTTCACTGGGAGCAGTTCTCTTTGGCCGGATGCTGGATGCTACCTGAGTATGAAAATGAGAGCTTTAGAGCCGGAAGTTCAGACACGAACAGTGGTAGCTCCGCAGACTTGCATTTCACGCCCTTAGCTTTTCCCCCTCTTACTTGTGTCCCATCCCACCAGCTCTGCGCTTGCCCCAGCAGTCTCTCCTCAGCCCCGTTTCATCCAACTGAAGGACGCACCCAGCCTGGCTAGGTCTGCAGCCCTGGGCTGGCCTCACCCTTGGCGTCTCTCTGTGGCTCTGTTTTGCTGAGAGAAGGGCCTCCCTCTGCAGCCTCGTCGTCTCCTGTCCCCGGGATCCGGGCCCCTTCCCACTTCGGCAGCAGCTGACTGTGAGGCGAGGGCTGGTCTCCAGGCAGCTCTTCTGCCTTCCTGTGCTCCTTCCTCCTCTCGTGGGGAACTCTAAACGTAAAAAACCCACCATCACTCAGATTCAACAGCCCCTAAATAAGTGGCCCAATACGTGGTCGTAAGAGGAAGGTTTTGAACCAGAACACCTAACTGCATGAAAAAGGATGTAACCTGGAAAGAAAATTAATGGATGCTGTCAGCTGATTCCTGCACGTGGTAATAACGAGAGAAGTGTGGAAATGTTGCCCCAGCAGTAGGACGATTGGAGAGCAGGCATATTTATGTGAAAGAATACAGTCCTTACAGGGACGAAACCAGGCAGTCAGGACACATCTAAGAGCCAGCATTTTTTTTTCATATTTAAAAATGTATTTGTTTTATTGAAGTCTAGTTGGTTTATAGTGTTGTGTTAATTACTAGTGTATAGCAGGTTCAATTATGTATCTATCTATATACATATATTCCTTTTCATATTCTTTTTCATTATAGGCCATGACAAGAGATTGAATGTCGGTCCCTGTGCTATACAGTAGGACCTTGTTGTGTATCTGTTTTATAGATGGTAGTTAGTTTCTGCAAATCCCAAACTCTCAATTTATCCCTCCACTCCCCCTCCCATGACCTCCTCCTTGGTAACCATAAGTTTGTTTTCTATGTCTGTGAGTCTGTTTCTGTTTCATAAATATGTTCATCTGTGTCATTTTTTTCAGATTCTACATATAAGTGCTATCATATGGTATTTTTTCTTTCTCTTTCTAGCTTACTTCACTTAGTATGACCATCTCCAGGTCCATCCACGTTGTTGTAAATAGCATTATTTTATTTTTTATGGCTGAGTAGTATTCCGTGTGTGTGTGTGTGTGTGTGTGTGTGTGTGTGTGTACACACACACACACACACACTACACACCTAATTTTTATTTATTTGTTGTTGTGTAGTAGTCGTGTGTGTGTGTGTGTGTGTGTGTGTGTGTGTGTGTGTACACACACACACACACACACTCACACCATAATTTCTTTATCCAGTCATCTGTCAATGGACATTTAGGTTGCTTCCATGTCTTGGCTATTGTAAATAAAGCTGCTATGAACACTAAGGTGTACGTATCTTTTCGAATATACTGCCCACCGAACGATTTCTTTTTATCCATTTCCTGTCATACCAATTTAAAAAACCTATTTTGGGGGAGTATTGAACACAGTTCTTTAGTGACTCTTAAACATCCCTCTTGGCAGGGTCCTTCCTGATTCAACCCTGCTGTTCCATCTGCAAAACCATCCAGTGCCCTCAGGATTCTGTGACTTGCCTTGTGTTTTTCACTCTGCCTGGAATGTAACACTTTCCCTCTTTCCCTTCTTTGCACTCCCATCCTGGGGAACTCCTTGTCACTTCCTCTGTGGTGTGGTTTGTGATACCTCCCTACTCCCATCCTTTGATGTAGACCTACCCTCCCTTGGGTCCCCAGCACCTTTCAAGTATCTCCATTCTAGTAATGGCTGATAGTGCAATAAATGGCCCATCTTTATGCCTGTCTCCACTATTAGATTTTATGTTCCATGAGGTCGTCAACTCTGTCTTGTTCACCAGTGTATCCCCAGCATGTAGCACTGTATCCAGCAAGAGGCAGATGCTCAATTTATATTGATTAATGGATGGGTGGATGGATGGATGGATAGAGGACAAAGTACTGGGTAAATGTAGAGGAGAATAAAAGACAGCAGATTAAAAATATTAATTCTGTGGAAGGGAGAGTCAGGGGCCATGATTCATCAACCCCAGATCCATGGTGACAACCAGAGTCAGTCAGGAGCAGAAAGTCAAGGTGACGCTTCTGTCCCCACGAAGGTTGCATCTGGGATTTGTCGAGTGTCCCTCTGCACTAAGGGCTCAGAAAACAGGACATGCTTTTGCTTTGGCACTTTGAGGTTGGCCCATCTGAAGAAGCATAGCGTGGTAACATCTCTGCTGAGTTTAAGTTCTTCCCTGAAAGCTAGAGAAATTTGATCTGAAAACCAGCATCCTAGAGGCGATCATTATGAGACAACAGTTATGGATTTAGAAAAACAGTGTCCCTACTGGGAGCCCTAAGTTAACCCCAGTTATCGGACTGTCCTCGCTGATACCGGACAGGCACTTGGAATTTTCTCCGTACCACAGGAAAAAAAAAAGTGCATGGTTTTTCTGAGTTTAAAGTTGGTTTCTGCAGTTGTGGTTTCTGAAGCCTCTATTCATTTATGGTGGTTCTCTTGCGTCTCTCAAAAGATCCAACTTTTAAGCAGTTTGTGTGATGCATGGTTTGTGACTAGCTGGGCAGTTGTTTTTTTTTTTTTTTTAGAAAAAGTTCTTAAGCTTGGAAGAACATCTGCTCTGTGTCTGATCTCTAGAAACCTCCAACTTTTCTAGCAAGTTGTAACATTTGAACCAATCACCCGAAGGCATGCTTTGGCACATTAAGGAAATCCACACTCAGTAAATAGGCTATTCCGCGTCTCTGGTGCCCTATTCAAGGATCCTGAAGTGCTTCCCTCACTTCGAGGTGCTTGTTTATAGAGTTGTAGCGAAGCATGGGCATCCTCCAGACCCAGGCAGATATGCAAATGAGCGTGGGCCCGCAGGACTCCATCAAGCCTTCCGTGGCGGGTCGAGATGAACAGGGCCATCGTGGGACTGCTGGGGGCCTGGGGATGCCCTTCTCGAGAGCAGAGGCTGGCGTGTAAAGAGTGTACTTGTAAAATGTTGGAGAGCAGGGAATACTTTGTAGGGGGCCCTACGTCAAATAGCCAGTGGGGAACTGACCACTTTCCATCTGTTTTAAATTAAATGTGTTTGTCATCTTTGCGTCTCACTCCCTAGCTCAGCATAATCAGAAAACATCTTCTGTGATCTTAACTGAAAGCATATTTTTATAACTCGAGCTGGCTGTTTGCTTTTACACAGCGGGCAGTGGCATTGCTTCCCTCGCTGACTCTGGAGTGTGCTCAGCCAGAGCTAAGGGACGGTGCCCGTGGGCTCCACTGATCCCTGTGGTGTCCCTGACCCGATGCTGGGTGTGGAGGGCACAGTGTGGACAAGAGAGTAAACAAAGTAATTGTTACTTGTGGAAGATGCTAGAAGGGAAGTGAACAAGGGAGGCAGAGGGAGAAACGGTTAAGAACCGCCTTCTGAATCGGGCGGTCAGAGAGGCTCTTTGCGCAAAAGAATTTGGATCTGAGGCCGGAATGATAAGGACAGGCGATTCAGATAGAAACTGGGAGATGAGCATTCCAGGCAGAGGAGACAGCCGTGGTAAAGGCTGTGAGACAGTCAAGGCTTTGGAATATTTGAGGAAGAGAAAACAAGCCAGCATGGTTAGAGCAGACAGAGAGGGGGACAGTGGCATGAGATGAGGCTGGAGACAGGCCAGGGCAGGGCCAGGGCAGGCAGGGCCTCACAGAGAATATTCTAGGACTTTATTCTAGAAGCAATGAGGAGGCAGGAGAAAACACCGTGCTTGGCTTTGCGTTTTATGAGGATTCGGCTGGCTGGTCTGTGCAGAACAGACTGGAGATGGGGGAGGGGGCGGCAGAGATGCCAGACGGCAGGTTTGTGCATCAGTCCAGGTGGAGGTGACGCAGCACACTTTGGGTGCCTCCTGGGAGATGGAGGCAGGAGGGTGGGATGGGGGCAGACTTGACCAGGCCTGCTGATGCGGTAGCTAGAGCGGCGACGGGGAAGGAAGACTCAGGGACTCGAGGCATCTGCTGGTGTTTAGATCTGAGCGACAGGGCGGATGACGGGGCTACTTAGAGGGAGCAGAAAGGCCGAGGGAATGGCTGTTTTGTGAGAGGGTGGGGAACAGAAATCGTTGCAAACATATCGATCACAGAGATCTGTTACTAAGCTCCGTGTAGAAAAGAAGGGGTCTCTTAGCAATAAGTGTCTTGAAAGGACAGACCATCATTTGTCATTATTACATCAGAAGTCATGACAGAAGCATTTGGAAGAATGTGTGACGGAGCTTGAGACAACGGACGGGTGATCGGAGATGACTCAGTCTCGGCGGTGAGGAGAGTGGGTGACGTAGCAGGTGGAAATACGTAACCATGGATTTTCTCCTTTGCAATGTCTTGTCTGATCAGACTTTACTCCTGCACTGGAATAAAAATGCTAGATGAGGTGTGGGTGCAGGGAGTCTGAGAAGTGTTTGTGCTGAGAGGGGTGGCCGAAACATCCAGAAAGGAAGCTGAAATTATGATGCAGGGAGAGAATGAAGTTCTTGGGGCTTGGAAAGCATGCCTGGGGAGTGATACAATCTATGCATTGAATACTATCCCTTGAGTTCCGGCAATTGGAACCCACTTTTTTTTTTAAGCTACTCTTTAATAATGACATTTTCTCTGTACGTTAGGTATGGGAAAAAAAAAGGGGACAGAGGCACCTCTTAGCGTTTCTTCAGCTGAGTCTCTGCCTTCCTATTAATTTTCGGCAGATTCTGTTTGTTTTTCCGCCAGCCTGCCCACTTCCGAGGACAGGCCAGCCCACTCTTTACTTTGCTTATCTCCTTTTCTGTTTGGTGTTCTGAAGTTGTCCGTGGTGCTCGTAGGAAGCACAACATTTGGATGGTTGAGGGGCAGCCTGCAGTGCAAAATGCATTAACTCGAAGCTGTCACTGGTAACTGACTTGGAAGAGCAGATTGTCCCAGTGGGTTTCTGGTTTGGGTGTCTAGAATTCCAGCATTGTGCAGGGGAAAGTCTTCCGCCTCTGGCAGAGAAGAGTTTAGCGTGGGGAGTCAGAGAGGCTTGAGTTGAGTCCTTAGCTCTTCTGTCTTCTATTTTGTGACTTTAGCATTGGGACCTACCATTGTTTTATTTAAGTATAGTTGCTGTACGATATTATGTAAGTTACAGGTGTACAATATAGTGATCCCCAGTTTTTAAACATTAAACTCCATTTATGGTTATTATGAAACATTGGCTATAGTCCCCGTTTTGGACAAGACATCCTTGTAGCTTATTTTACACCTAACAGTTGGCACCTCTAAACCCCTTACCCTAATATTGCCCGTCCCTGCTCCCCTCTCTCCACTGATAACCACCAGTTTGTTCTATCTGTGAGTCTGTTTCTTTTTTGCTATATTCACTAGTCTGTCGCAGTTTTTAGATTCCACACATAAGCGATGCCCTGCAGTATTTGCGACTTCACGTTTCTGAGCCCAGTGCTTTCACCTGGAGGACTTGGGGAAGGAGGTACACATGTACATTGCAGGCTTTTGTGGAGATTAAATGATATCTCATATGTAAAGTTCTTAGCGTGAGACTTCATGCTGGCAACCACAGTCTATCACATTCCTGTCATTACAAGCACAATGGCTGTCAACTTGACAGGAAACAAACATCCCTGGCTTGCAGCTCTGTGAAAGCTGCTGACAAGCATCACAGCCGTGAGTGGAGTGGTTCTGGGGTTCTGGGGCAGGGTCCCTCTGCTACCGTCCAGCAGAGGTTGCGAGCTGGACCTCCGGGAGTGTATTCTTTAACTCACCCATTTTCCAATTTGAATCAAAAATATGAATTGAACAACTAAATGAAAAAAAAGTGGGACCTTTCCTATGCAAGGTGGATTACAAGCTTCTCTTGAAAAAGCATTTGGTGGCGTGGGGCCCCCGCCATTCCATATGGCGCCCACCAGCTGTGACTTAGGCGCTGATGCTCAAGTAGGATGTGGCCTTCCCACTGTGTGTTCCCAGCTCCCTGCCCCTCTTGGAGAGCCTGGTCTTGTATTTTATATGGACCCTTGACTAACTCGATGACCTTGGACAAATTCTTTAACTCTTTCAGTCTTGATTTCCCCATCTGGAAATGGAGATGTTAATGATAAAGCTTACCCCAAAATATTTCTTTTGAGGATTAAGTAACATCAAGTTTTTCCACCATGTTTGGCATACAGGAAGCACTCAGGGCTAGCTACAATCATCATAACACTGCCAATTAGTGGGCATCCAATTGAAACAAATACTTAGGTGGACACTGATAGAAATTGAACTGTGGGTAAGACAGACATGTTATAAGGATAGAATAGTTTCAAAAATACCAGGGATATGTTCTTTTTCATACACCCTTGTGCTCGTGCCATTCCCCACTCCCCTTTCAGGGAAAAAGTTTTGGCCGGATCTCTTCTGTCCATCACATCCACCCTCCACGCTTCTCCATCTTGGAGCTGACCAGTTGGGGTTGTATCCGTGGGCTCCCTTGCCAATGGGATGCTCCATTTGGGGAACAAAAAAAGGAGGATATGATGTCAGTATTTATGACCAGCTCCTCCCCTTAGAGTTGCCTTGAACCTGCTGAGATCCTAGCTGAGGGTTACTGGTTCTCTGTACATGCTTTCTCCGTCTGGCTTTGACAACCCTTCCCTTAGACTACTGGATCCTGGACCCACAGGTGTTAGCGATTAGACTGTTCCTAGCCCCAGGGCAACATGCCGCTGTTTCTTGCTGTTCCCGACCACCCCTCCCATAACTCTGTAAATCCACTTGGATTTATCCTACATCGAGTATGTTGCTTCCACTGTCTCAGAGAAGATTAAGATTATTAAAGCAGAAAGCAAAGGAAATGAAGTCAGTCTTAAGGTCCTAATCTCAGGATGGCATTTGGAATCCACAGCAAGGTAGAAGCCAGGCTTTGTGAAGAGAGAAAGAGGTTTCTAAATTCTTCAGGGTTTCCTTTGGTATAGAAAGAGCCAGGTGAGATCAAGTAAGATCGCAGCCATAGTGCAGAGCAGGCAGGGAAAGACTGAGGGGAGATTTCCACCAGACAGGAAGAGAAACAGAGCACACTGCTGCAGGAGGGAGCGGGCGATCCTGAGGGGGTGAGCCTAGGGTGCGTACCGCAGCCTGGTCACCGAGAAGTGACTGCCTCTTCCCTCAAGCTCCCCTGTCCGCCACCCCACTCGGATTAAGCAAAGTTGGGATGGGGCGGGTGGTGGTGATGAGGTGTTAGAAACCCTCACAGAAACCCCAGAAGATCTGAGGCAGGAGAGTCAGCACATCTAGGCTCACCCTCCACTTCCCTACTGTGTTCACCATGGTCTGGAGGTGGTGGAGCAGCCAGGGTACAGAGTTCCCCATGGCCTGGGGTTCCCGTCTGCCCAGGTGAAGGACACCAACGTGTTGAGAGCAGCAGCGTCTTGGCATAGGTGGGCCTGTGGTCCGGGCCACAAAGCACAGGGACCTGGTGATCTGAGGGACCATGAGGACCTTGGGTTTCAGCCTCAGATGCCAGCAGGACACCACGAAGGACGGTTGGGTCAGCCACACCGGAGTAAACACCAGCTCAGGACATTCAGAGCCAAGGCCAGTCCACCCGTCCACAGCCAAGGCCTCCAAGGACCCCTGCCCCAGGGGTAGACCAGCTTCCCTCTGCACCCAGACCCTGGTTGGGAAGGAAACGTGGGGGAAATGACCCTTTGTGGGAGGGAAGAAACAGCCTTTGAGTTGACTGTTTATTTACCCCAATGAGGCCAAGTTAATCTCAAAGTGAAACGTTTCAAACAAGAGCGGAAGAAGTTACCCTGGATTGGCAATGTTTATTTTTCTTGGCCATCAGGAGGGATGGAAGCTTCAGAGTAAGAGACTAGTGATAAATGGCCGTGAGCTTCATTTTTTCCCAAACCTCTGTGTTCTGT